TATTGGTATTTTGGCTAAGCCATTTTCATATATATATACACATATATATATATTTGTATGTATATATGAATGTGTACATATACGTATTTAAAAAATAAATTTAATTTGGCTCTCCTGACTTTCTAGTAAGCTAGATCAATGAATGCCATGAGTGGTGTGTGAGAGTGACTGGGATTGCATAGGGGAAAGATGGTGCCACAGTAATGCTATCTAATTTGGTTTAAACTACTCTGGGAATGTGTGTCTTGTCATGACAGTAAAGCTGAAGGTGTGGTTTGTCCCTCTTCCAGAAGTTTTTTGACATCAGATTTGGTGATGTGTTTTTGCTTTTTGAAAATTTTGGAGTTGGTAAGCTGAAGCTCCGAAACAGTTGTCGGAAATCTGTAAATGTCCAGAATTCTGGTACAACGTTGACTGGAACATTGAGAACAAAGTTGTTATGCTTGTACTTCTGATGGTCTGATTATCGTTATTACATGCTTTACAGAATCGCATGAACCACGTGTGAAGTAAAGGTTTAGAAGAATTGAAGTTGAGGATCATATTTACAATTTCTTCCTATGCCTTGAGCACAAAGCTATGTGTTAGATGAAGGCTTACCGAATAGTGAGAGTTGTCAGGTTCATTGGGACAAGGCTGCTTCGTGAGGACTATATGTCAAGAGTTTTAATGTTCACGTGCAGTTACTAGAAACTGCTTTCCTTTTAGATAGACTATCATACACTTGTCTGCCTCAGGTTTTCTTCTGTGTCTTTCTGGACCATCTGTGTTACCGGAGTAAGAGTGCTGGAGTGAATGAATAGTGTCTGTGAGCAAGCATAGCTTTCCCTAGTTTACTCGTTATATTTTGTCTAAAAATTCAAGCATCCTTCAGGTCTTGTTTGATGAAAGATGGCTTGTATAAAGGCCGCTGGAAGATGAAGCTTTTCATTTATTTCAGTGATGAATCATCATGGTTCTGCTAGCACCTGTTGCACTATGCTAAGTGGACTAACCGTTCAACCTCGGTTCTAGCTTCCAGCGTGCAAGTGCTACTCTGGATATCCTCACTCCTTCCCTTCTTGCCCCGATGTACCTGTAAGGGTAAGAATGTAGTGTCATCTAAAATAAATTCCTTCTCAGATGCTAAGAGGAGGAATCTTCAGGCAAATTTCAGGCAGGCGTGTGACTGCAGCAAAAAAATCTTGAACTGGTAGAGGTACTGTGGAAAAAAAAATTACTTTGAGTGTGCAGTCACCAGGTGTCAGAATCACAGAATGGTGGGGGTTGGAAGGGACCTCTGTGGGTCATCTAGTCCAACCCCACTGCCAAGGCAGGGTCACCTACAGCAGGCTGCACAGGACCTTGTCCAGGCGGGGCTTGAATATCTCCAGAGAAGGAGACTCCACAACCTCCCTGGGCAGCCTGTTCCAGGGCTCCGTCACCCTCAGAGGGAAGAAGTTCTTCCTCATGTTCAGACGGAACTTCCTGTGCTTCAGTTTGTGCCCACTGCCCCTTGTCCTGTCACTGGACACCACTGAAAAGAGCTTGGCCCCATCCTCCTGACAGCAACCCTTCAGATATTTGTAAGCATTTATAAGGTCCCCTCGCAGCCTTCTCTTCTTCAGGCTGAACAAGCCCAGCTCCCTCAGCCGCTTCTCGTAGGAGAGATGTTCCAGTCCCCTCACCATCCTTGTAGCCCTCCGCTGGACTCTCTCCAGTAGCTCCTCTTCTCTCTTGAAGTGGGGAGCCCAGAACTGGACACAGGACTCCAGATGGGGCCTCCCTAGGGCAGAGGAGAGGGGGAGGAGAACCTCCCTCGACCTGCTGCCCACACTCCTCCTAATGCATCACGGCTAGGGGAGGGTTTTGCTCCCGCGT